AAATGTGAGCATCAAGTATTGATCGAGTACCGTTGTGTATTGTTATATTGTGTGTATTTATATATATATATACAGTTGTACAATTATAAAAATATATATTTTCTACAAATAGCTGAACTAGAGTTTCTTTTTGGGATAGCACTTTGAATCAAATGAAGGAATCCTCAATTTCATAAACCATTACTCTCGAATCAAAACTGGCATACTTGAGACAAAGTGCAAAAATTTTCAAAGGAAGAATCTTGAATCTCAATTGAACTCCAGGAATCTTGAATCAAGCGCTACTATAATCTTGTCAAGATTCTCATTCTTGGGGAGAGAAACACTCAAACCATGATAATCTTCAATGAATAATCTGGAATCTTTGACAGAGTACCTGAGAATTTAATGGAATAGATTATGTTTCTGCAGCCAATAAATTCGAGAAATCAAGTACTTCGGACAAGTACATTGTATTAGTTACCTGAAGATATCCTATTCCTGGAACCATTGTCGATCTAAAAGAAAACCTAGTAGGCGACCTAGTGCGAGGAGGTATAATTATATAGCAACTTATCAAAAATATAGAAGGAAATAAGCAGCCTCTACCTTTCTGCTTGGCTTGCATGTCGAAAAAGTGTGAAAGCACTGAAGAGTTTCCGAAGTTTCCACAGTTCCAACTTAAATTCAAGTTGCATCATATATAAGTCAACCTAATACAGCATTGCCTAAACATCTCCCTGCTTCCATTCAAGTACAGGTTAGAACGGGTTAGAACATGGCAGCTTTTTATTTACAAACTTGACAGGACCATGAAAAATGCTTGGGTTAGGAATAAAAAATGAATAACTTAGTTTACTTAGTTCACGTAGATGTCTCTGAACGACATATTTTCTTCATTTGTCTTTTCAATGAACAGACAATATTATAGCTCCTGCCTACTAACTACCTAACTTGGTTGTCAACTAGAACGACAATGCTGGAACAAATACTCACTTCAATCCAGTAAGTTATTCTGACATTCTCATATGACAACAGAATCTTCATGGTTTTTGAAGTGGATATTCACTTGGCTATTTTCAAGATCTTCAATATCTTTGAATGAAGGGCGTATTTCTCTGAATGAAGTGATTTTTTTTTCAGTGATCCTTCTTTCAGCGCGATCTGTCAGTTCGTGATTTGCCCGAATGGTGTTGCATAATATCCGATTATTTATCGCACATATTTGTCTATCAACCAGAACGATAAAAACATATATATATCTGTTATTATCGTTCTGGTTGATAGACAATATCTCAGGCATTGAAAATTGAATATCCTATAAGTATTCCGGCATTTTACTTCCAGATCTGTATAGATCTCATTCGACCAGTACAAGGTGGGTAGAGCTGAAAATTGATCATTCGTGACATAGGTCACTGTATCTGAAATTTCGAGTTGGTCAAAGAAATACGCACTTCATTCTAAGAAATTGTGATCTTGGATATGGCCAAGTGAATGTTCTCTTCAGAAACAAACAATATTTTCTTGCCATATAAGATTGTCAAAATATCTTACTGGAAAGTTTCTGGAAAGGAATAGGTATTTGTCTCAGGAATAAAACCTTCAGAACCATATTCTATTCCATCAAATTCACAGATACTCAGCTGGAGATACCAGGTTATTCATTGGAGATTTTTATGGTTTGAGTGTCGATGACAGTTTGTTTTCCCAAGAATTGGAATCTTGATACTAGATTGATTCGATTCAGTTGAATGAACATGAACCATCTACAAATTATAGTAGCGCCTGATTCAAGATTCCTGTTTTTTTTCAAGATTGTCTAAGTATGTCACTCTTGATACGAGAGTAAAATTTTCTGAAATCGAAGACACATTCTTACGAAGGCGTAGAGGGGCCACCGCAATTATTTTTCATGATTCCGACTTAGTATCTCAGAATTTCGACTTAGTATCTCGAAATTATGTAATTCCGACTTATTATGTCGAAATTCCGACTTAGTATCTCGGAATTATATAATTCCGACTTATTATGTCGGAATTTCGACTTAGTATCTCGGAATTATATAATTCCGACTTATTATGTTGGAATTATATAATTCCGACTTATTATGTTGGAATTCCGACTTATTATCTCGGAATTAGGACATTGCGGTGTTGTGACAATACCCAGACAGCACAGAATATTCTATGAATATTCTGATAACGTTCAGATATACTTATTTCAGAATATACTGATAGAATATTGTCGGAATGTTCATAGCAAATTCTCATCCTGCTACGAATATTCTATGAACGTTCAATTTGACATATTCTTTTTGAATATTCTATGAACATCCAATTTGACATATTCTCAAGATTTTTTCCTTGAGTATTCTGGAAATATACAGAAATGATCGTATCAAAATATGATATTGATGTTATTCTTGTATCGATATTAATAATGTTTCTCCTGACCCAAAACCTATTATTCTCTACCTTCAATACTAATTATCCTACTAATAAAGTGTTGACATCTTGCTATTTATATCATTCACAACTATGGTTCGTAGCGCACTGAAAAACGTTTCAAGTTTGTAAATATTCGATGACAAGAAAATTGGTTCGTATCTCCACCGGAGCAAGTTTTTTTCACTTTCCTTTCTTCTCCTATGATATGCTAGGAATATTCTTAGGATATTTGAGAATGTTCATAGAACGTCCCTGAAATCATATTGTGAGAATATTCTGAGAATATTGGAATATTCTCGGAGAATATTCGATGGATGACATTGTGCTATCTAGGATCCTTAGGGCACGGTGATTATTTTAGGGAAGTAATGAATTCGTGCTCATTCGGGCTATCCTTAACTCTAGTCTATCCTTATGATCTTGGAAAACGAAACAGCTCCATATAGCTACGGTTTTCTATGGAGAATGAAGCTGTTACCAGCGGCCGTCATTCGATTATGAATTATCTTTGAAGAGCATATGCGATGATAGTTGTCACTAAAACGTTTTTCTACAGCGAAAATTGATCTTCAGAAACAGTGGCGGATCCAGGGTATCGTTTAGGGAGGAAAGGCGATGAATATAAAAAGTATAATATATACGAATATATTTTCTATTATCCAGAGGAATGCCCAAAAATCAGCGAGTGCTGTTACCTCTGAATTATACGAGGTCGGATTTTGATATTTACCGAGTACCAAGTATATCAAATTGCCGTTTATTGACAGAACATTCATTTATTATATCACTTCTGGTGCAACCGGAAGTTACCCCAACTATTAATTCTCCCCTATATATCTCGACATTTTGATGAAAAAGTCTCTAATGTGTGTAAAACGAATAAAACGATCCCCTGGATCCATATATCGAAAAATATGGGTACAGAGGATGACCCATTTAAAAATCAAGTTGGGGTTGCTTCCGGTTGAACCGGGAGTGATATAGGAAGAAAATTAAATTGTCAATATCATATTTTGATACGATTATATCTGTATATTTCCAGAATATTCAAGAAGAAAATCTTGAGAATATGTCAAATTGGATGTTCATAGAATATTCAAAAAGAATATGTCAAATTGAACGTTCATAGAATATTCGGAGCAGGATGAGAATTTTCTTTGAACATTCCGACAATATTCTATCAGTATATTCTGAAATAAGTATATGTGAACGTTATCAGAATATTCATAGAATATTCTGTGCTGTCTGGGTATGGTCACAACACCGCAATTTCCTAATTCCGAGATAATAAGTCGGAATTCCAACATAATAAGTCGGAATTATATAATTCCGAGATACTAAGTCGGAATTACATAATTCCGAGATACTGAGTCGAAATTCCGACATAATAAGTCGAAATTATATAATTCCGAGATACTAAGTCGGAATTTCGATATAATAAGTCGGAATAACATAATTTCGAGATACTAAGTCGAAATTCCGAGATACTAAGTCGGAATCATAAAAAATAATTGCGGTGGCCCCTCTACGCCTTCGTACATTCTCATTATGATTCAAGGTACTATTCCAAAAAGATACTAGTACAGCTTTTTTCGAAAATATTCATTAAAAACAAAATACACACAACATAAAAATACAAATTGGTTCTTAATCAATACGATAACTTCATCTTCGAACTTATAATAATGGCGTACACATGAATATGATACAAGAATATGAAGTTACTTACAAAGTTGAGTATTCAAATGAGGAAATAGTTAGTTCTGTTTCACATGATAATATATAAGTATTCATGGTTTAGTTAGAGAAGGTCTGGGAAAAACTGGCGTCTTCTTTTTTCCATCTTAGTGACGTTCACTCGACGTCAAAACGATGACGTGATTATCACGTCATAGTGACGTCATAAATTGGTGTGTGACGTCTCTGACGGAGAATCACCAATTAGGGACGTCACAGTGACGTGATCATTCGTCATCTGGTTGCCTGGGAACGAGGGCACTGTGTAACGCCCAAGTTTTTTATGAGAATCTCAGATATTCCACCAAGATTCATGATTCTCGTTTCAAGTAACAAGAGCTGAATGAGTGTGGGATGAGAAAATATTCTCTTGCCAGAAGAAAATTATTCCAATTGGAAGAAATTCCGTTCAAGAGAATTTTCAGAAAATATCAAGAAACCCGAATTTCTCAGGACAAAGAAATTTCCCTTCATGTTAAGTATTCACTCTTTGTGGGAGAAAATTTACTTCAAGACCACAGAATAACTTGACTCAAGTAGAGCTGCTTTTTCAGTGTACTAGAATGGTTGCGAATGTGTGGATTTGTGCGATCTGTGAATTTAGTTCGTCTTCCTCGAGTGTGAAACCCATAAACTGTCACCCTGTATTTCTACTGAATATGGAACCACTTCATTATAGAGAAATGAATTCCAATCAAACTACAAATTATTATCTATTATCATAAATTATAATTTTAGATTGGTAACTCATCTATAAAGTACAATGTTTCAAATCGTTGGCCTATCTCAGTGCTCACATACCTTCATCGGAATTCAGCGGATTAGTCAAGAAATATGTATTTTCCAAATTTGTATGTTATCTCAGTTTTGTGCTTCTTACCATTTATGAGATGTCAAAAAGAATGTGAGTTCTCATAATCCAATAGTTTCACAATCAATCAACATTATATTCACTGTCTATAGAATCAGGTTTTTTGACAAGAATTGTAAAAAATATACTTTTGTCTCTATTGAAATGTCGGCTCGTCTTTGGGCAACTCGAATAAATAATATTAACCATCATTCTTCGAATTTTTTCAATTCGTTACCGAAACAAATTCATCAATTACCAGAACTGACGTTTCAAATCTGAGAATGATGCCAATTCTCAGTGGTGACAATAAGCGTGTCCACACTCTTCAAAGGGCGTGAAATGAGATGTTCGATGCACTCTAGTTTGAGGTATTCCAGAAGAGAATATGTTTTTCATTATTATTTCCAATATTTATTATGCAGTGCTTTCGTAACGTACTGAATTGATCAATTTTTAGCCAAACTATATCCATTTCTGTAGAACCTTTAGTCACACGTAGATTTTTTATCAATATTTGCCAAATTCATGAGAAACAATTGAATATACAGGGTGATTCACGTTTGAGTTATAGTGTGGGATCTCCATGAAAATAAAAGCTAAAAATTCAAAAATACAAACTGGACTTGGATGATTTAATTTCAGATAATTCGAAGGACTATATAATTGATGGATATCAGATCTGGAAAATATCTTTGAATTAACTAAGAAAACTGTCGAGATTAGGTAGGTATTTAAAATTATTGGAAAATATATAAAAAATTTCATTCGAACGGATCTAACACACTGATTCCAGTTAATTCATTCACTAAATTTTAGTAGGTATAGGATCTTCACGAAAACACTGTGGTGCAGTTTTATATTTCGGAAATATTCTTCTGTGTATTACTTTACTTGCCTGCTTTTTCTGAAAAAGGTTTCAATACTACAGCATGTTTGCAGTGGATTCTGCATGAAAGAATAACGGGGTTTGTTTTTGATGATAAAATAACTTATATATAATCATTATTCCAGATTCTTCGGAATTTTTCCTCCTCGTATCTATAAAATGAAAATATAGATATTATTTCAATAAACGTGTACTTAGTAGGGACAAATCAGATGATTTGCCCCAAAATGTCACTACGTTTAAAGAGTTTTCCTATCAGAGAGCCTAAAAAAAATTCACTATCTTGTCAGTGACAATTTGTATTGAAAAAAGTTTGGAGAAGAGGAATAAAGGTATACAGGGTAACTCACGGTCGATGGTATGTTAGACGTTTATGGAGAACGGGACATAGGATCATTCTGAAATTTTGGTAACTCACGTAGTTGCTCTTGGTCTATCGATCTAAAATATTTTCAGCTCTGCGGCGTTGCCGCTTCTATCGAAAAGTAGCAACAACTTTGTTATTTTAAATAGAACACCCTGTATTTTATTGCATTTTCAGATTCTCTTTGAAGAGCTGATTTCATCGATGTATCACACTTGGGGTCTAGCAGAAATGATTACAGAGATATAGGGTGTGAAAAATCGTCATTTTTCAACTTTAGGAATGTTTTTTGTCGAAACTATTCATTATTGGTCAAAACGGCTCACATGTCCCTATCTCAACTTTTGATTAACCATCTACTGATATTTAATAGACAAATACAGGGTCGTGCAGAATTCAGAATCTTGATCACCCGGTATATGTCCCACGATTTTGACTATGTTTGATTAAATGATTGATCACTGTTATTTTGATTTCTTATGTTCATATTAAAATACATTTCATAATTTTTTTTCTATTACCACACTAAAAAACAAAAGATAGGAAAGGTTTTGGAACATTTCTGGAGATATGCGATTCTATCTGATATTGTTTTTTTCGATATTTTGAGAGAACTACGAGGCCTGAAGACTCCGCTGTGAGCTCAATTTGAAGCTGATGAAATATGCTACTACTTTCAATCCATAAGTTCTACTCGTAGTATCAATGGTTTAGCCGCAATTTTGGTCTGAAGTAGGTCCAGAACTAGAATTTTCACTTTCTGAAAAAAATTGCCTATATTCAAAGTACCGTAGTTTCGTTAATAATCAACCTACAGAGCTCCGCTTGGATTGAAAATGTTGAATATTTTATGTTCTTCAAAGACGTAACATTTTTTGTCGAAAAATTTATAGTTTAAGAGATATAGAGCAAAAACTGAAGAAAGTCCGAAAATTTCGCAGTTTTTCGTGTGCTACACTTTTTCCACAACTTTCTGAGAGTTGCAAACTTGGGTATACACTACCCTAATGAGTCCAAATAGCATACTAGAAAATCAGAAATACATCATGTTTTGTTTATTTATTGTCGATTTTGACTGGCGTACATCAACGAGTCACATTGGGAAATAAATCCAATGAGACTATCTACGAATATTAAGAGTTCCGGAGATAATAATCAACGTAAGCAAACGCTACTGACTTGGCATCACTGCCATCGTTCTGTTTATTTCGGCAGCTCCTGATGATATCAAATTCGATTCTAGTCATTATCATCCGAGTTATCATCCCATGGAAAAATATAGTATAGCACTTTATCAGTCCTTAATATCGGCGACACCTGACCACGTGCTATGTGAACAGGCATTCGGTAATATATACCTCAATCAACGCTATAAGTATCTTTCGGTAACTGCGCTCTGCAAGTCTGTTTATAACTACCCAGGTAGCAGAGTGTCCCGAGAAGATGACATTTTGACGTCGATTTTACGTCATTTTTCATCCACGACGTCATTGACCAGAATGTGACCAACAAAACGGCATCTTATTTCATGACGTATTATTGACGTATAATACTGGAGGTCTTAATGAATGATGTCTCTACATATAATCCAATAAATTTTTCTGGTCGACAAAAAAAGAAATTGAACATGTTCTTATATCTTTTCATCGTCCGTTGTACTGAATTTGAGTCAGTGTGACCCACTTCTAATGGAACCACCCCTGTATTTGCTGGAGCGAGAGATATACCAGAAATGCACTTCATGACCAAGTGGGGTCATCTTCAGTGATATACACTGCTCACCAACAGCCTTGGAACCACACCAATTTCCGGAAAATGATATTAGGAGTCAAAATAGGTCGAAATCACTTCGGAATGTAATAATAATAATATTAATAATAATAATAATATCAATTTTTATTTTCTGTTAAATGTATAACATGAAGCAGTATAAAATACGTCAAAAAGAGAAAAAAATTGAAAAACAAACAATGCGGCAACATCACAATTAAATACAATATATACATCACGTTACTAACATTACATAGAATTATGTAAAATACTCATCCAGCGTATAGCAGGCCTTTTGAATTAGCTGTTGGTCAAGCCTCTTCTTGAATATCCCTAATAGCACATAACGTCCTAGGAACGTCCCTATTTGGTACCATTCAAGTCCGAATGTCCTGGACCAAAAATAAGTGTCCTTGGGACGTCCAATCCCGTACATCTCATGCAATGTCTGAGTAAGGACGTCCACGAAATGTCCCAGCTGGTACATCATTTTGAATGTCCTAGAAATAGCATTCCTTAGACGTTCCACGTGGTAATGGGATATGATCTTTAACGTTCCTTTAGAGACATACATCGGATGTCCCGAGTAGTACTTATTCTGGCTTGACTTCAGATCTTTTATAATGTCCCTGATAGTACATTCCTTCAAATATCTCTGCACAGACGCCCTTGATATTTTCAGCATCGTAAAAAAATCGAGATGTCCCTTAGGGATATCCGTCGGATGTCCCAATTGGTACATGAACTGTACTTATCCAATGTCCTAGAAATAACGTCCTATGGACGTCCCAGTCGGTACTTTCAATATTTTGTCCCTGCGAGGACGTTAACTTACACCTCGCCGACAAATGATTGCTCGCAGGCTATGAATACTCCCGTCAATGTCCTTCACGTGAGTCCATTGGACATCCTTGGGAAACTTTTTCAGGATCTATTGGGAACCTTCTACGGAGCATCAACTCAACTGGATGTCCTAATCGGTTATGCAAGATCTGGTCCTAGAGAATCTCAGAAAAATTCAAATCCAAAAATGATTCGTACGTCCCTGGGACATCTAATGGACATCCGATTGATATCCCAGCGTTGCTGAAATTTGTCCTCGTTAGTTGTCCCAGGGATATCCCTCAAGGACGTCTCTAGTTGGTCCTCAAGTGGGACATTTGTGCGTCCCACAGACGTCCAATGGACGTCCACTGTACCGAATTCGAACGTCCTATGGACGTCCTGAATGTCCCGACAGTGCGTCCTAAGGATATCCACGGGACATAATTGTGTTATTATGCATATTCAAGTTTAGGGAGCTCTTAATTTCTTCATCAAGAGAGTTTTATTATAGTCTACAGCCAGTATAATGAAATCTTTTCTGTTACAACGTAGTCCGGTGTCTCTCAGGTTGAAGGAGGCTTTTGAAGCGTGTATTATGATTGTGCTTCTCAACAGTATTCAAAAACATGATTCGGTTCGGATGTTGGCTGTTCTGAAATATGCTCTGCAACTTGTTCGCATATCAACACTAGCAAGTATTCGAATTGCATACTTCTGAAGTACTCTATTCACATGAGCACAATTGCATAATTTCGTACTTTATATGGAAATGGAAATTGGCATAGTACAACGAGAGTAGTATGTGCCGACTGCAGTGGTTCTTTATACATTTCAGACTATTACTCTGTTATTTTTTGCACAAATTATTAATATGATCGACCCAATGAAGCTATCTGTCGAAAGTAACTCCCAATAGTTTTACTGACATGCTGCTTATTATTTATTCATTATTAGAACCTTCAAATAGTTCGACTACATAAATTCTGCTAGAACTAAAAAGAACAGTTATTGTTTTTCCATGATTAAGTAGTAGATTATTATTTTTTGACCATTTCCCAATATTCGAATAAACCATTTCAGTAGTACTTTTCAGCTTATTCAGATCTTCATCAATAACCAAAATATTCGTATCATCTGCATAACACGTAACATGAAAATTCTGTATCTTTCGAATTCAACGTATAAGATCATGAGCGAAGAGTACCTAAAACCGAACCCTGTGACACACCTTGCTCGATGTCCATTTCTTCAGAAAAAGTATTGTTCACTCTAATTAGAAGTGTATACTGTATACAACGTGAAGCTCTATCCGCAAACATTTATCACATTCCTACATACTACTATGAGTTCACTTTCATCTCGCCCACGCTCGCTTCATAATTTACAATATTTTGAGAAAATTTCTAACAATTTTGAGATACTTTCACACTGAAATTAGTTGATTTCTATGTGGCTAATACAGCGCCACACAGCGGAACGCGGACTTCAATTTGAAATAAACATGTATTCTTTTTTCAATTCAGTACACACGGTTTATCCATTTACCTATCATGTTGATGTGGCGGGAATCAACGTCACCATCAGAATGGTGAACAGTACATTATTGGGAACAGAAAATGAAAGAACAACTGATTTTGGGTAAGTGTAAAACTCAATTTATATAATATATACTTCGCAACGTTAGCTTCATTCAGAACAAAACAACCTGCATCCAATTCAATTGTATCAAATAATTATATCTGTCCGGCCCGGCTGCGTATTTCTAAAAGCGTATACGCAATAGGTCTCCGCGCCAGTGCTGAATCCTAGGGTGCCTTGATGCAAACTGACGTATTTGTCATCTAACAGGATACGGACAGATCATAGCTCCTTTCTCTTTTGATCATCTAGTGACTTTGATTTCGTATGTATTGGCGTCCCTGACCGTTACCACCGATACAACAAGGCCTGCATGCTCCGTGGGTGACGTCACTTAGTGAGGCCTATAACCAGCGGCTCGAAACGACAAGCGCTTATAGCGCTATAAGGCGACCGCGTATTTCGATTTTAGTTTTAGATCATCATTGAGCCGATTTTGCTGTTTCTTGAAGTGCTTCCGGTTAAAAAAGGATGCCAGTCGTCAACTGAGCCCTTCTTCGCACCCCTTTCGATTTTATTATGGAAAAACGAAGTTTTAAAGCGAAAACCAGGATAAAACACAAATATCCACCTACAGCAACCCATTCAAATAAAATATATCGGCAAAAATTGTGGTGGAGGTAAACTTCACACCTACTTATACAGGGCCCGCAGAACATAAACTTATCGTGAGATTGATCGAAAGAAAATTGTGGAAAATGTATTTTATTTTGATTGACATGCCGTTTGTTACAATTACCTATATTTATCTTGGAGAATTCCTATTAACTGAAAAAATAACCAGTGAGTGTTTTCAATTTTCTGTTGTTGGATTGTTCACCCAAGTCAATCGTTACACTTGAAACCGTAATTTTCAAGGGTAAAACTGCATTTATCATGCGATGGTTTTTATTTTGAAATTTTTTTTCGGTACTCACGTATTTTTGTCTGATAAACCGAATCTTATAATGAAAATGTGAACAAACCACTATTTATTGAGATATTTCAAGAAAAAGTTCGAAATTTCGCCTTCTTTCTCCCCTTGTGTTGGGGGCATTTGAAGCTACTTGCTCTTATTTTGTCATTGGACACTTTATATACTCATGATGTACTTCGATGGCACATTTTTATATCGAAAATTCAACAGGAAATATGATTTTTATGGCGAGTTTTTCATATTTAGTGAACAGGCATTCCAGATGACGACCATTTAATCAATAGTCAATCAAAATACGAGATGTCAAATGTCAATAGATTGCTCTCGAATGACATTACACACGCCTTTATTTTGAATGATATTCTTCCTTCTTCTCACTAAATATGGATTAATCTCAAGAAAATCATATTTATAGTTGGATTATATATAAATTGTCCAATATGATGAAAAAAGGAGGGAAATTTGTTCTAAATGCTATCCAGAAGACAGGTGAAAAAGAAGGTGAAATTTGGAACTTTTTAGTCAAATATCTTCATGATAAATATCATGATAAATGCAGTTTTACCATTTTGAATAGAGTGTTTGTAGTTCATGTTGATATGATAGTTGCAATTTGATCATTGGAATGAATTCTGCATTCATTGCCACGAGGCAAATGACCGTTTTCAGAAAGGAATTTGAAAATGAGAATTAAAAATGCCCGTTTATTATGAACATTCAAGAAAATTTCCTCGAATTCAGAGATGATTTTGTTGACTATAATATACGAATACAAAACTAACTGAACAATCAAAGCTTTCCTATTTTTCCTCTACTTATACTTTTTATGAGAGAGTAATTGTCTTCTATTATCAATTCATCATTATAAATTAAGCTCTGTTTACTACTGAACTGAGATGGAGTAAAATCCTCGCGGTGAATTGCATAAACCCACATTTTCGATAGCTCCTCTTCCAACGGGAAACTAAAAGCATGAAATTTTGAACCACCCACATAATTCCCCCGACAAAAGGGAACACAACACTTGGAAGGCATTGTTATTTCGCCGATCACAACACAAAATATTTGACAAAACAGTAATTTTTCCGCCAACTATTTTGATGAATAAACAACAAAAAATTCGGGACCGTTTCAAAAACATACGTGAATCACCGATGAATTAACACGAACTGACGACATTGCTGTCACGTCACATTCATAGTTGATGAAAGAGATCTTACAAAATTTTAATTGCGTTCTTGATCTTAATACGACATTATTCAATTCTGTTTTGGAAGGATGGCAAAATTTGCTGCATTAGGCTGTACAATCAGTTGGATGGCATATTTGAATTTGTCAGCTTTCCATCAAATGCAAATGAACTTAAAACATGAAAAGTGAAGTGACCGAATGGGGAAAATTAGTAAATACATCAACAAAATATTCGAGGTAAAACTTATACGAAATCACATATTATACTTTCTAATTTTGCCTATAATCATCCACTCCACAAGTTTTTGAATGCATTTTATGAGAAACAGTTTTGATTAAAAAGGATAATTGAAAGAAGAGGCATATGCACTAGCATTTAAAGAATTATACCTACATTCCGGAAATATTAAGTGTTCGTGAAAAACTGCAAAAATGATTCCCAACATAAATATATTCAGCATACATGACATATCAGCACATTAGTTCAAATACCTATATACATTTGTTCATCATTTCTCAACCATAAGGCTTAGTCTGAAATCAAAATTCATTTATTGATTGGTACTGCCTAAGAACAGTCCCATTTGGTGAAACGTTTTGAACTTTCCGAAAAAGTTGTTCGCTGCCTCACAAAGATTATGGTGGGGTTGAAAAATCAAAAACTCGAAAATTATCATCATCATTTGGATAAAATATGTAGGGTTGAATGAGAAATTAGAAACATGTGGAAATTACGTACGATACGCCAATGTCCTCAATATAACCTAAAAAACAACAAATGTTAGAAATCTAGTGTTTATCCCCAGAAATGAATGAAGATGTAACTATATAACTGTTTTACAAACACTTTATATAGAGTGAGAGGAGACGAGGATCTGTCCGTACCCTGTTAAGATGACTACCCATTTTGAAAAAGTCTTTCATTGCAGTCTTTCTGAGCTATGCGCGTATCTAAGGTACATATTTTTTGTTATTATTTTTATCTTTGTACTCACCTATATCTACTATCATATAGGGAGATTCATTGGGAAATGCGCATACAGTAAGGGTAGATGAAGGACACCGAGGTGCTTCGTAATAATCTTTAATTCATGGGTCAATCATTCTTCATTACCAAGATACATGGTGATTTATTGAGTTCCCTCATTTTTTCAATCAATTATAACTCATTAATCACCTCATACATTTTTCTGATAATATGTTTGTATTTTCTTTGTACACAGTGGTAACGATTGACATAAAAAAAAAGTTTTATATCAGGACAGGCCATGAAAAAATCGATAAGTGGGTTTCGGGTCGAAACAACACCCTGAATATAAAGATTTCAAAATTTCATTCACGAAATTGGAAAGAGCAGGAGAAAATAAGGGTTTCCGCATACAACTTGTCCACCTATTAACTTGAGTCGAATCTAGAGGTTTCAATAATCAGGTGACACAGAATTGTAAACAAAATATTTGTGGTCCCTAATGATACTTTTCTATTTATAATTTATGGAATCATTATGTATTTTTCATCCACCAGATTGTTTGATCCCAACCCAATTGAAAACGAGAGAAATTATTATTATAAATGACTAACTTGTATGTGTGAGAAAATTATCATGAAATTATCATTTATTCATTGTGCTACATCCGAAACAACAATTATGAAAATGTTGAACAAAGCTCATTCCGAAAAAAGCATAACTTAATTTCAAACAAAAATGTCGTTGCAACAAATTGTATTGAGTTAAATCCATAGACATACATCATGTTCATTATTATCAAATTTGTGTGTCATTGAGTGAGCAATATCTGTTATCTACAAATAACGTTACAATACAAGTACAAAGTACAAACTCATCAACTAACGTCGAAATTGTACTCTAATATCAGCCAACTTGACAATTACAACGATTTGGGATATCAAACCCAAAGTGTACGTATAGACTGTTTTATTTCAAAATTATTATCAAAAATGCATCAGAAGAGTCGAGAAATGATCATGCTCTAGCTGAAACAATAATTAGACGCGGATAAAAAAAATTCTAGTTGCTTATTTCCTGTTATGTTGAACCTTCAAAATGAAGATTTGTGGCATCGTTATTTTCGTTCAAATCAAAGCTATGGTATTTTCGGAATGGGCACCCAACTAGCATTTATAGTCGCGATTACGTAATTACGACTATTGGGTCGACTATTAAGTAATATTTACTAGTTGCGGTTACGTTATAATTACGTCGTTACTACGTATTTACGACCAAAATGGGGAACAAATCACGAGTAATTATTACGGTTTGCCGACGTAGCGGGAACTCACACAATTACGTAATGCTTACGACCCGTCGACGTCGAAATTACGTAAAGATGTAGTAAATTTTCCTACCTGACTTTCTATTTCTTTTCCACTTCATAAAAATATTATTTTCTCTCTTTATTATTCTTTATTTCATCCATGAAGTTCACATTCACGAAAAATGAACAAGTCCAATATGCCTAACCATTCAATAAATAATACAAGGACAAACACGCGAAATAATTGATACTCGAACTTGAAAAATTCGAACAACATTCAGTTTTTCGATAAATGTGATGATTTTGCCTCGAAATTCAAGATGCGCCCACAAAATACGGCTCATTTCATCAAAAATATGGTTTTATTTCATTCGGCTATTTTTCAAAAATCATCGTAAATCATGTTAATTTCCATTATTATGCAATTTGTGATCGAACGAATGCTATTATTCTTCATAAAATGATGTTTATCAACAAGAAAAACCAAAATTATTTCCTGTTCAAATGGTTATCACATCAATCAATATGGCTTCCAATCGAAAATGAATCAGAAAGTTACTTTTGGAACTCGTCAGTTATGATGTATTGGTAACTTCAACTGAATATAATTACCGAAAAGTTGTTTCAACTATGAAGGAATTGTTTGAGTAGGAATTACCAATATGTTACTTGAAATATCACCAAGAATTGACTAAATTATTAGGTGATCGATCAAGTAACGACAACGTCGTAGAAACCTAATTGGTGACCATAGAGTAATTGCAACTGTGAAGCCTTCTTGGGGTGGTAAGCGTTACCGTAATAATATATCCAAAGTTCCGAAACCTTAAGAGTAGTTTTGAGGAGTGACAGTTTCGAAATAGTTACTTCGTAATAAGCCATGAGAATTTCTCACTTTGAAGTTATTATCTAGTGTAAAAACTACGTAATTTTCACTCACTAAATAACTATCACTGACATTTATACTATGAAGTTCTGAAATAAGTGATAAATACGTTATTATCACTAAATATAGGTAATAGTTTCTTGAACCATGGTGCCTGTGACTGAAAATGCTAGTTGGGCATTGTTCTTCATTTTCAAGAATATCCATAAGTGACCAACCAGTGAAACTAAAAATTTTGTGAAATTTTAGATGGAGTGTTTCTGGAAACAATACTTTCATGAGCTACGTCAATCATAACCCCAGGCTAACGCACATTGCAAACTATACCGCAATCGGATATATCAGAGTACCTTCATGCTCTGGTTCTGATAGTGTTATGAAGATAAACGAAACGGGCATATCTACCATCGTATTCGGTAAGTATATCAAAGATATGTGAAAAAACTGGGAAAGTTATAACTCCACCTATCTTGGCAGCTCATGTTTTGATTGATTTGTTAGATACAGTGTTACCTATCTTGAATTCCATCAGAAAATACGTTAATGATATTATTGTTGTGAAACCAGAGGATATGATATTGAAGAGCTTCTTTCTAACCTCAATAGCTATGAAACAAAAATACAATTCACTATATTATGCTTCTTACCATTTCTATACACAAAGTTCATTCGCGACTATAACAATTCGCGAAAATCACGAACCAATAGATGGCTCTATTATATGTCAAATCAACGTCAAATTTCCAACTGAGTATGAACAACAAAAACATTGCCGTATACACTCATTGCAAATTGGTTATTCCAAATCATTTTGCAAAATAGTGAATGATAAGTTGACTTCTTGAAATACGTACAAGGTTTCCAGTATGGAAAAAATCACTTTTTGTGTAGAGAAATTGCCCTTTTAATGTGGACAATGGTGGTATTCATCATTGATATCACACTACAATCTACAATCCCACAGTTTTCAAACATATGGAATGATCGAAATGGTTAACTCAAAACTTACATGGACTGGAATGGAACCATACAAGCAATCAGCTATTACAACAATATGGTATAGGTGTGGTATAGGTATATGGAAATAATTGAAATCATCAAGAAATATCACTGGCTTTTATGAAGGAGATGGAATTCTAGTGAAGGGGTTGGGAAAGAAGATATGGTTGGAGAGGCTGCTCAGAATGAACAATATCATCGATTTACATAAACAAGGATCTCCAGCAATTGAGGACTTGAAGTTATTCTCAAGATCAAATCATTGCAACCAACATTTATACAATGATTCTAATTGTGCTTCAGAAAATGTATATTATATTATTATAAGGCAGGTACTGGTTTCTTCATTGTAAACAATGAAAGTTCATGCAATAATTCGAGTTTTTTCATCAGGGAGAAATGAGGTTCTGGAATATGCATATCAACAAATGAATTATTTTCAAATAAAACACATATTTATGAAATTCAAAACAATGGTCGCGATATTTGTTGTTCATACTCGCAAGACTTGTACAGTTAGCCACCAGAGGCCGCACACTTCGTGATTTTCGCGAATAACAAGATCCTGATAGATTGGTACAGGAAACCATGCAGAACTGGACGATACATGAACTATGAATCGTACCACGAAAGATCTATGGAAATGAATCTTGTGAAGTAGATGGAGTACAGAGTGGGCAAAATTGGAGGTTTTCACGGGAGTATCTCATAGACTGAAGAAGTTATTATCAAAAAATCGAGATACATGTTACGGTTTCTATTCTGATGGAATCCATAATGGCGATATATCCGAGGATATATCTATTAGTTTCAGAGATACAAGGGGAAATTGAAAAATTGTCGATTTCATTTTCATTTTCTGAGTAATTTACGGTGAGGAATATTGAAACATTTCGAACGTTTATCCATTTTAGATATTTTATACAGGGTGACATATTGAGAAGATACAGCAGCCAACACCAATATTGGTACCCATTAAATGAAAATTCGATTCGAAATAATCCCATCAGCACTAATGGAGAAAGCATAAATCTAAATATATACAATGCGAAATCGAATTCCTGGCTTACTTGTGACACGAGATGGATCGCACCGTCCCCATCAGAAAAATGGTGAGATGATGGGCTGTCCTTCGACCGAAAAATCGGTCTTATTCTCAAAAACGCCCCAAAGCACAGGAAAGTGTTGGTTGGAGATTTTCCCGCGAACACACTGTAGATGGTATTTCACCACCACAGAAAGATAAAGAATATCCTAGCTCCAACAAGAAAATACCTAATTGACCCGATATTAGTGAATGTTAACCATTTTACATCTAGTTTTCGTAGAAATTGATTGTTCGGCGGTTAAAGCCGTTTTGCCACGACCACAATATTCAAACGGAGACATGTGCAGACATGACCTCGGAACTACGGCGACCCATGACGCAATCTTCTTCTTTTTCGATGAATGATCAACCTCATCTAACGAGACATAAACATCACACCTTCTATTCGATTTAACAACAAGTCACTATTTTTAAAGATCCAGATATCTTGCTAGGCTGAGTACTTTCAAAATCAATGAATTTTAAGGCCATTTAATAGCGACATATAATATTAACCACTGTCGATGACAGGTGTTGACTATTGCTTAAAGTACGAAGAATAATGAGAAGAAAGATATTGGCCTTCAAAAGAAAGCAGAACAGCTCGCATGGATCGATCATCTGTCAACAGTCAACAATCTGACAGTGACGTCTTCGCTCAATATTATTGATCTAAAATGTAAACAACATAACAACGATAACAATCTGATAAATCGAATGAGAACTGAAACAGTGAAATCTTCATCGTTAAAACTTTAAAATATCCGAACGCTCGAACATATCGAAGAAGACTGGCCATCATTCTACAAAAACAACACTGTGAATAAATATTCAGAACCAGAATCGCGAACCACGGTAAGCACTGACAACAGACCTTGTCTAATAAAAACTCGGAAGACTATTTTGTTTTCAGGAGCTAAATAAGATAACTGATTTACGACAATGAACTGTATAAACTATTTGAGATTGCAAATAGGAGTTATCAACGGCAACTGTTGAATAACACACGAATAACGAATGGAAATCTGAGAGAAAAGTTCGTAAACAGAACCATATCGATTTTATTTCTAGCAGTATTTTCGTTAGGCAAAAACGAAGTGTAATATCTTTTCAATGTCACCCTGTATATAATTTCCAATGATGTCGAATTTTCGAATATTCCTCACCATGAAGAACTCAAAAAATGGAAACACAATCGACATTTTCAATTTTGCCCTGTATCTCTGAAACTAATGAGAATATCAAAATTCCGATTGCGACATTATAGGTTTTTCTTTCATCTATAACTCCTTTAAATATTATTGAAATAGCCCGTGACAACCCCCAATTTTGTCACCCTGTGCATGGTATTGAGGATCTCAGTCACTATTTAAACAAACGAAATATAACTATTCTTTCAAATCTGTTTCTGGATAGCTCTTATCCTGTAAGCCTAGTAAATTCCATTTTGTTCGTCGTGGCATATAGCTCCAACGGTTTCTGCATGGTTTCTGCGTTATTCGCTCTTGAAGAGGTTTGTGTTTCATTCATAACATTCTCATCATTTCAATTCATGGAGTTAATGAAGTGACAGTAGAAAGAAGGCAGTAATCAATAATGACAATCACTTACAATGCCAACAAGAAACAGAAGAAAGTACATTCTTTACCAAAGTTATGGGAAAATTTAATATACAATGTTATTGAAGGAATGTACCATCAGGGACATTTCATGGTTGTCTAGAAGGGACATTATATGAGATCTGAAGTCATGCCAGAATATGTACTACTCGGGACATCCGATGGATGTCCCTACAGGAACTTTTTAAATCATATCTTATCAGGGACATACCAAGGACGTCCTTGCATGGACATTCTACAATATCTACCACACAGAAAGAAAATACTACGTTAATATTAAAAAAATCACCTTACATATTACCTCGCATATTACAGAAATTTCTTTCGCTATAGCGTCAATAAAAATGTCTGTTGATTCTATGATCCATTTCTTTCAAAATCCCAATTAGGATTCTTTAATATTTAGAGAAATCTCGGTATTTCAAATGAAATTTTCTTACAGAATGTTTTGATAATAATGAAATGATGTTACTGCATGTGTTCATTATATTCAGAAAAATATCTATCATTACAGAAGACAGTTTCGTACACTCAAAGGAATAATGCTGTCAAAGTATAAAATGGTTCTGTATCATTGAAATAATTATTCCAAAGGAATGTAGTCTTGCAGCATTGAAAGCATTGGGGGAAATGAAAAATTGGCAAAACCTCTTCCTGAATTTTCTATAAAAGAAACATTTTTCCCAGGCGTCTTGGAGTTTTTCTGCAAAAAGTCAATATGATTTTCCGCCAATAATCAGTATGATTTTTCAAGCAGCAACTTCAACCTGAAACAAAATGAAATTAGTTTAAAACAATATCGAATAGGTATTACATTTATCAATACTTGGTTCTTCTGAAAGATATAAAAATCATTCTCGATTGATGATATTATGGAGCTTTTTATCGATATTATGTATAACTACTTTAGGATGTATAGTTACTTACCACTAATTGTTCGAGTGACGATTTTCTACGAAGAATTGATGCCTTTAGTATGGATATTTCATCAATTCTTCTAGGCTTCTTGGAATTTTACTGAGGACATCCAGTTCGATTTTTCGAAAATACCTTCCAGGCGTTTCCCGTCTTCCATGAGTAACCTGAAACAGAGTAAACTAGTTAACCTCTTTTGTCTGATTGTCTGACGAATGAATATAACATTATATAATCATTGATAGTAGATACTCACCAGAACGATAGAAAATCGAAACAACTCACACTACTTGTTATAATTGCTGTTGTCTTCACAGCACAAAATGCGAAATGTAAATAGGGACTTGAGCAGTGCCAGGAGCAATCGATCTGAAAATAGCAGGTTTGCCCTGATTGGATGGAAATGACATCATATCCCAAACGTGTCTGTAAATGGAACAAAACTATTGAAATTTGTTATATACACAGAATATTTTTTCAGCAAAATCACTGCATTTAAAGTTCTTCTAATATTACAGAATTATTTGTGAATTTGAGAAATATTCATTTTTTGACAATTCTACACAGAAAAAAAAGTTTCTTTGAAACTACAAAATTTTTGTAAATCCAACAAAATCTGAGGGTTATATCCACGACAAAATATTTTGCCACCGCAACAAATGTATTTTGTCAGCTTCCAATTCAGAATTCATTTGATGTAACTTATACATGATTCAAATTAACAGCAGGAATTGGTTGGATAAACAAAGACTATTTTGTTTCTAAAATATAATATCTGCGCTTATGAACGATTTTGTTGATTGAAATAATTATATCATTTCATCCAGGTGACAAAAATTTCAGTTTTTCAGAGAGTGAATATGTTAAAATAACGAGATATATTCTTCGATCAACAAAATTGTATTTAGAATTGACAAAATATTTTGCTGAATAATATAAAAAAAATTCGAATAACTGAATTTCAAAACCAAGAGAAATCAGAGATCAATTTCCTCAGTTGATTCAAGACTATTAGCCTGTTTAAGCGTCATAAGGAATTCTACTAATTCTAGGACAGCCTAATATAATTATATAAATGGATGTTTTAGGCGAGGCGAGCGCCTAGGCCTAGGCAGTAAAAGTACACCTCTTCTGCCTGTCAGGCGGCAGGAAAAAACCACTATCCCTGCCGCTTGGAGAAAAAAACCTTCATCAGTCAGATCAGCCTTCACGATCGCAAATGTTTTTGTTTTCCACCCAGTCCTCAAGACATGAAGTTATTCTTTATCTTAGACTATTTAGCACAGAATGACTTATTTATAGATTTTCAGGTATAGTCATTCAATTTGCGATCTGTCGTTATTGCAGAATTGCCTTTATATTCCGCCGCGGTAAAAGAGAGAATAGTTTCGTTTCGTTTCACGCAATACGTCATTTTACAACAATCATGGATTGTGTTTTTGAAGTATCTATAAATGAAATGTTTTGTCTATATGTACTAAATAGTCTGAATTCTTTCTCAATATGTTGTATTATGAATGAAATTCCCAAGTCTGCAGTCGGCACGCAGAAATATTTACCTGCGAGACTCTCGCACGAGACATGAGAAAGAAGTCTTGTACGAGACTCGAGACGAGACCAATAAAAGCGAATTCTTTTAGTTCGCCTTTTGAACGAACATACTTCAACTTCAACTTCAACTTCAACTGAAGAAACTTGATGATTAGGTGGTCAATAAGAATTTGTTTGTCAGTCTGTGGGATGCTGTGGGGGTCCACAGTTTTTCTCTCAATCAGGTAATCACTTCAAAAAAAAAATACAGCGCGGTTGAACAGAAACGAACATTGTGGATCATTTTTTATATTCATCTCTCTCAACAAAGAATAGTTTATAACATTTCTGTCTTTTATTCCAGACAACCAGATTTTCAGACACCACGTCTACTTGACTAGAATAGAAAGAAATGGGGTGGAAGTATGGAAAGTATTGAGCGCTCAACTGTGGGGAAATTACCAACCAGGTCACTTCGATTTCCAAAACCTCCAAGGCGGATCAGATCGCAGAAGGGCGGACATATTGTTGAGGATCAATAATTTATATCCACAAATCATCGAGAATATCCGCTCGCAAATTGACGAACAATTTACTACCAAATTATTCGACCGTATTACTAGAAGCATTTTGGATGGTGCACCAGCAGATGAGTTGATGGTCTGCCCAAATCCACACTATGGGAATATTTATAATACTAGTAATGATGTTTATTTCACGCAATAATGCTCATGTACACACATGTAATAATTAATATATAAAATGAGCATATACTCGATGAGTGATGAAACACTCGTTTGAGAAGAGTAATTGATGAATGGAGTATAAAATATTGTATAAAAAGTTGAATATCAATCAAATATCACTCGGTGAGTGTGAAACACTTGTTTTGAGGATTATTTTAATGTATAAACATGTATAAAACAATGCGCAAACAATATATATGAATATTATAAATCTTGATGAATAATTGAATAATTTTCTAAGTATGAGGTATATGAAAACTATGATCATAAATATAAAAGTATACAAAATACATTCACCTACATACACACATATTTCATTAAAAGCTAAAAAGTTAAGATTATTTGAAACAGGAGGAGGTAATTTCAAAATTCAATATCGACCATATAGCAAAGTCACACATGATATATATACATATATATTAGGAGGGTAATCTGACTGACCAGTCAAGGTGAAATAATCTGAAGGTAGAAAAAATATCACAATATTTCTTCGTGTTGGGGATGCAGTCAAAACTTTGGCCTTAAATGAGAACTCTTCGTTACATAGTCGAGCTTTCGGAAATGTTTATTTCCTTTATCAAGACACATATAAAAAATGGTATAAATAAAACACTTGTAGAAAAAACAGGTGACGAAATACTTACTAACATGAGATTGGTAAGAGAAGTTAGATCAATACATAACAGGTACATCATTAGATTCATTTTTTACTAAGCTGGTGAGGCATTCATTTTTTTCACAAAGCAGTATCAATGTCTATTTTGGCAAAAACACCGGTAACTCGGAGATCATTTTGATCATTTTGATCTCCAGTTGTTGTTGTAAAATCAGAGTTACCGGTGTTTTTGCCAAAATAGACATTGATACTGCTTTGTGAAAATAATGAATGCCTCACCAGCTTAGTAAAAAATGAATCTAATGATGTACCTGTTATGTATTGATCTAACTTCTCTTACCAATCTCATGTTAGTAAGTATTTCGTCACCTGTTTTTTCTACAAGTGTTTTATTTATACCATTTTTTATAGATGTCTTGATAAAGGAAATAAACATTTCCGAAAGCTCGGCTATGTAACGAAGAGTTCTCATTTAAGGCCAAAATTTTGACTGCATCCCCAACACGAAGAAATATTGTGATATTTTTTCTACCTTCAGATTATTTTATATACATACATATATATATATATATATATATATATATATATATACATCCTGCTATCTTTGTTGCGTCTTTTCATAATCCATACTTATTGCGTCCACCAGAAAGAATGAGGTTGGATAGAAACTAGTCGAAGTATATCTCTCCTCACGTCATTGCCAGCATTTACCTCTATTCAGAATTGCTCTATCTTTATTTTTAAGATATACGATTTATTTTCATTCCGCGTACCTCATTGCGTCATTCCATTTCACGAATGTTATTGCATCCAGCCATATATTTGAGGTTCATTCAACGATCTTTATTGCGTCCTGTATATACATTAGTGCGTCCAGCGATGTTGCCAGACTGAGGGTATATTTTTATTATATTAATAGTACATTATTGCGTCCGACTAATAATAATGAAGCAAATCTTCAATACTAATGTAATACGGTCCGGTATTGATGTGTATTTGTTAAGTTGCGCGACATTTTGACAATAGAAGGATAACGATCTGCAAATTTCTATCGTTATCGGATATGACATGTCACAAAGGCATGTAAAACATTGTATTGTATCAAATGGCACCTCTGCCAGTCTATATTCTGGGAAAAATGAATGAAAAATGGCAGTTTTCTTTGCGAGATTAGAATTATGCTATTCGATGAAAATTGAATATAGTATGCCTCAATCATGTCCTTGTACCGCGGGACAAAAAAGGTACGTACCTCGGACATCCCTGTGTTAGGGATATCACCTGACGAAGCTACTGTGTTAGCGAAACATGTTGTGTGTTAAAGAATTTTGTGTAAATCTTATCGTTTTTTAAGTTTTTACATGAAGAAAGCTCTCCAATGATGGTATCTCTAACGATGATAATGAACCAACAAGCAAGCACATTGGTCATGTCCATATATCTCCTTCTCAGCTAATGAACCATTCAATAAATGGCTGTCGTCCTATATAAATTTTGGAGGCTGATTTTTTGACTATTTCAATCAGATATTCGGCCTGATATAGCATTATGCCATTGGGACCACTTCGACGACTGGTGGTAATTTGCTAGGATACTCGATATAGTTATTTGTTTAACTAGGCAGCAAAGTAGTAGATTGACTGCCGTTGCTGAATTCATAGCCGAGCGTAGCGAGGCTAGGAATCCAGCAAAGGCAGTCAATCTACTGTGCTGCCGAGTTGAGCATATGATTTTTTCTCCGATTGTTCATAATGATATAAGAGAATATTGTCTTTGCGAATCAATACAATTCCCAAAATCTCTTTATTCTTCCTGTATACTGTTCAATTGAAATAAAATTTGATAGAAATCGCAGTTGTTGGTTTGACAATTCATGAAATTTCTGACAGTTGTGCGAAACAATATCGGTATATTTAAATTATTATATAATGGACAGTGATAGCGACCTGGAAGTATACTTACACCTCCATTAATAAGGGAGGTGGCAAAAAATATAGAGTTGAATTTGTTGCCGGAGAAGTCTCGGATGAAATATGAAGGAAATTATAGACGATTTATGGATTTTTCATTTTGCTGATACATATCAATCAGCAAAGTACCCACTTTGCTGCCTAGGCAGGAAAAGTAATACTTTGCTGATTGATTTGTGTCAGCAAAATTAATATTTGCTGCCAATCGGAGGAAAATACATTTTTCGGTTTCATCATTAGGAAGAGTGCCGATGCAATGCGGTCCTACATGGTTGCAATTACCTCCTTTCCCCAAGATCATTACAACAAATAAGTTTTTTGATGATTGACTGATTGAAATCAGAATAATATATCAAAGGAAGGAAGGAAAGATCAAAATCATCTCCACACCATTTAATAACGTTGTTAACTCGGTTGTTTGATGATCAGAGGGACACGGGTCGGTATAAGGGATCATCTTCAGCTCAATTTGAGGTACGATTAAAAAAATATGGGTATGGAAGGAATTACATTTTTTTGTAGACTCACCTGGAGTTGAAATAGTTCTATAAATTCAACTAGTTGAATTAGATATACCCGCCGATGCCCATAGTCACGAGCCCATGTATCAAGAAATGATAACGGGTTCTGAAAAATTGTTCTGAATTTTTCTATCCGTCATTAGGTTGGCCCCTCACGAGCAATCCCTAGAATTCTTCGAGAGACTCGTGCGAGCAAGGGATGACCAAACACATTCTTAGGTCATCAGACACATTTCTGCAGCGGAGAATTGAACCCACGTACACCAGCAAGCAAACGCGGATTAGTATAATGACGCTTCCACCACGAGGCTACCTGGGTTCTCATTAATGGACTTATATATTCAATTCAATATCATGCACGGAAATGGTATGATGAGAAATTGGCACAGCAATTCTCGAAAAAACATTCGTTTTTGAAAATTGTTCTTTTTCAACAAGGGCCCTGTTTCATACTGGAAGCACAAATTATTGACGCAAATATCGAATAATTGATGAGGCAATCAGCCAACATGTATTTCAAACAGAAAACAGAATTCAATGTCATACAAATATTATGACATTATGAGCAAAGGCATATAGGTTAGGTTAGGTTAGGTTGAGGTTGAACGTGAGTGGGCCCATGTCAGGCCCTTAATATGACCTATTGTGACATATGAGTCATATAGAGTATACAAATGATTGACAAATGTTGAGAGGAGAAAAGAGATAAGTGGGGAAAATGAGCAAAACATTGAAAAATTAATTAAATCCTGGAATTGAAACCCATCTTCCAAGGACTCCTCCACAAACTAATCTCATACGGCGAACCACCTCAGCTATGCCATCTTTCATCGAGTTTTCTTTCAGGCAGATCGCTACATTTGGTGGTGGATAAAGGATCGTCTGATAACATTGTCATCAATTCCGGCTTCCAACAAGGATCCACTTTTGCCCTATCCAAGCTTTGCAGACAATGAAACTCTCCATAATCTGCATTCTCTTCTAGAATTCCCATTTCTCTTCAGGAAACTGATGAGAACTTACGACGAAGGCAAGTCAACGCTGTCAATGACGATCAATTCTGGCTCTCCACTAGGATCCACTTGCTCTATCCAAGCTTTGCAAACGATTAAACTCTCCATAATCTGCATTCTTTTTCAGAATTTCGATATTTTTCCAGGAAACTGAGAATTTACGACGAAGGCAAGTCAACGCTGTCAATGACGATCAATTCCGGCTTTCCACTAGGATCCACTTGCTCTATCCAAGCTTTCCAGACGATAAAACTGCATAATCTGCATTCTCTTCTAGAAATATCCACTTCTTTTCAGGTAACTGAGAACTTACGACGAAGGCAAGTCAACCCTGCCAATGACGATCTTGCTGAAAAACAGCCTGGGAAACCAACAACCCAGTTGAATCCATCGCCATCAGAACTCAAGCTTGTAATTTCTCTAGAAAACCAGAACTCATCAGTATGCCTTATGTCTGGTACTACCATTCCCAGCAATACGCAAAAATCATGTCTGATCCATCGTGTGAACTGCTTCACAATGACTCGGGATTCTTATTCCGAAAATCTATTGTACACCCCAACAGCTTTTCACGATCTACAAAGCACATACTCAGCCAGTTTCAGATTACTGTTCTCACATTATGGGGTTCAGAACCCAAGCATACGCTGATCCTCTTAGAATTCATCCAGAGAAGAGTCAACCTTCCGGTGGGTGATGCCACACTCACTTATACGTTGACTCCTCTGAAACACCACAGGGAAGTAGGCCACCTTTCATTTTTTTATAGATACTTCCACGGCAAATGTTCCTTAGAAATCGCTGCTATCATTCCATCACTAGCAATGCCACAAACTCGACAGGCCCAGTCAGCACATCCT